CAACATTACTCATTGCTACGTGAACACCCATGTTAGCAGCTTTTTCAAAATATCCAAATGCTTTATTGCAATCTTCATCAACTCCCGTCCCATTTCTATAACAAATACCAATACAACACATTGCATTAGCATTATCTAAATCAGCCCATCGCTTATAATATTCAAATGATTTTTGGTAATTTTCTCCTACTCCAATTTCATAAAAATAACATAAACCAACAGCATGCATCGCATCCGGATCTCCTAACTCAGCTGCTTTCATATAATATTCAAAAGCCTTCTTTTCGTCTTTTTTAACACCAATACCATGTCGCTAATTGTAACCAAGGTCATAAAGCTGTTTAGGGTCTTGTTTCTTAAAGAAGGAAAAAAGTTTCATGTTTAAACAAATTAGTAACGGAGGACATTTAATGTTTAATTAAGGTTATACAAAATTGCATCAATAGTTACATTTTTGATTTGCATATTAGTTGACTTATATTGTCTATCAAAAATGTATTTTTGAAAAATTTTATATTTGGCCGCATGCATATTTGTATTTAGTGTAACAAAACCATTAAAATGGACTGTAATTGCAGGGGTGCTTCGTAAATGTAGTAATTACTGCACGCATTTTAGTTACAGAAGTCTACTAAACGTCCTAAATATAGAATTATTTTTATTTTTTACCAATCTGAACTTATTAAATAATGTGCTTAGAATTGAAACCAGAGAATTTTATCATATCAAACATAGGACTTTTTTTAAGCATCATAATATTCACCTCAAAAACTTCTTTAGTAATCATTAAGACGAACTGGTTGAAGTGAAGGAACACCTAAAAAAATAAAATATTGTCTAAAAAAATTTTGCGTTATTAAATTCTTACTAAATGATTCAGAAGCTTGATGTTTCTAACTTACTAAAATCCTAAGACATGACAAAAGAGCTTGAACGAAATCCAAATTCAAGAATGCTAAATTTTTGTAAGCTTATGTAAAAAAATAATATCAATTGAAATGATAATAATTACGAGAAAAAAAATAATATTCTCTCTTTAATTTTCTTACCCCTTTATCAGCAACGCGCGATAGGTATTTTATTTTCCTATTGACTAACATAAATTTATGGATGGTAATTGTAATAATACGTATTATAAATATAGATAAATAACACTGGTATCCGTAATAAAGGTTCGGTCAAGGTATAATTCAACAAGCTTTTCCATATCTATATATATGTAAAATATTATGAAATAAAATATGTTACATTCAATAACTCGGAATAATAATTGATGTATAATTGATAAAAATGAATATTAATTACCTCTTTGCACTTACAAGATATAATATATACGTTTATTCTATAAAAAATTTATAATAATTTAATAATTTAATAATTGAAGTTTATACATTAAAATAATTTAATAAATTACATTAAAAAAAATCACCTAAATGTCGTGGTCGAATTTGGTGCCCGGGCATTTGTAACACAAGGGTTAGGTATCGTGATCGGATCGGGATTTGCGTGATTCGGATTTGCATTAAATTAATTAAAAGTCTAAAACAATGATTGCATTATCGATGGGAAAGTATGTAATAATCAATGACGCAAATATGTATTAGTAATTAATATAAGGCATCGATCCAAAATGGGGAAGTGCCTAGTTTTGTTTTCGTAATTACCTTGACACTTAGTGAATAAACTGTTGTCTGTGTGAATATATTATCGGTGGAAAGACCTGTATGATACACGGTCATTCGAATAATTAGCTAAGCGAGTAAAGACTGATAGTAAAATCAAAGAAATACCCACGTAGTCAGTGAGGGCTACGACACTAAACATCTAAAATTCACCTTAGAAGTCTTGTAAAATTTGATGGTAGAGGAAAATATTAAGAGGACCTTGGTAAATTTAAAGGTGGACTTTACTATCCAGCAAGTATATTTAGAACATTTACTTATGTTTCCCGTTTAATCACTTGAATCATCTGTGATGATAGTAATTGCAACTCTGTTTATCGAAGTTTGTGCGGCAAATAGAAGGTACATCTAGTTTTGCTATTTAGTGAGACATTGGACTAAGCAATTTTGACAGGTGCAAACGCATCTAATTGAAGAATAACATGTTTTTACTAATAACCCAACCGAATAGTTCAGATGCAAAAAAGAATGCATATCAGCTGATTTTATTTATAAAATCTTAATGTGCGATTAAGAAAGCACCTAAACATAATTGATAAATATGACCGACCCTAAAATAAATTTATTCACCAACAAAAGTAATTATTTTATTACGTCGAACTAATGAGCCACCTCTAAATCAATGAGTTTTATTACGAACCAATGAGCATACGCAAATAGTAATTTTGGGACATAATATTTTAAAATTTTTTTGGGCCTTTGTTAGGGGGTTTTTTTTAGGGTTAGGGTTAGCGTTGTTAATAAAAAAGTATGTGTGAATTTTAGTAGGTATTATAGATTTAAATGGGAACTCTAAATTTCGGCATCAGCCGCAACAACTATTTTTTAAATCAAATAGAAAAAGCAAAATATGTTTATTAATCTTAGTTATATTTCTGCACTCATACAATGTCATATTGATCGTAACTGAGTGTTTCGAAGTTATTTAGGGTCTTGCTTCCTAAAGAAGAAAAAAATTCATGATTTAAATAAATAGATGCTCTAATTTTCCAGTGGAAATTTAATGTTTAATCAAAGTGATACGTTAATAGTTACATTTTTGATTAGATTATTACTGTATTTGTTGGCTTTTATTTTTTATGAAAAACGGAATTGAAATAATTCTTTTGATAGTAACTACAAATGTACTGTATTGTTTCGCAAATAGGGTCGTAACCAATGTACCGCATTTTGTTTACAGAGGACTACTAAATCCTAAATACGATTTTTTTTTAGTGCTCTTAGCTTATTAAATAATTTGCTTAGCATTGATGCATATGACCAGAGAATTTTATCATGTTAAAACATAGGGCTTTTTTAAAAAATCATAATATTCATCCTTACAAACTTCATTTGAATATCTGAGGAATAAAATTTTGCGTAATAAAATTCTTATATAAATGGATCAGAAGCTTGATGCTTTCCTACCAACCAAAGTGCTATGACATAATAAAAATTTGAGTGAAATCTGAATTCAAAAAAGACTAAAAAAATAATATCAATTGATAAATGATAATAATAAATAACGAGAAAAATGAAATTCACAGTTTACTTTTCTTACACTTTTATCAGTAACGCATGTACAATATATCCAACATTGAGATCTTATAAGTTCCTATTGGCAAACTTAGATTTATGATTCTAGCATTCTTTTATTAAGCTAAGTTTGAACGGCTGAATTTTTCAATCACTTTGCTTAATTTAAAATTTTATGTCAACTTCAACCATGTAAATGAATTATAATTCAATATCAAATATATTTATATTTACTCGAATAGAATAATCCAGTGAAAACTATTTTATAAAGATGAACTATGATTAAATACAAAATGCTTATTATAAATACAGTAATCGACAATTTCAATAATTCGGCATGATTTTATTTAATACAACTGAGACAAGCAGGATTAAAGTGTATTTATCGCATAAAATAAAACTTCATGAAAGCTCTGTTAAAAAATCCGGTTAAACTTTACAAAATTGTTGATACTAATAAACATGATCGAATAACACTTGCCAAACATGTAATTATTACAAAGAAGACTCTTGATTTCGTTAAATGATATAAGGCCATTTATTAAAGCTTAAAACAGGATTCTGTTTCTTCAAATTACACTTGCAAAAAATGTACTCAATGTGATTTTACATAGTGGGATTATTGCTGTATTATAAACCTTGGACTTTCTGTACCAAGGAATATAAAATTAATATAAATTAAAAATGTAATAGCTTTAATATAAATTAAAGATCAAATAAATTTTTTTCTCCTTTTATAAATATCTAATAATTCGAATTTATCCGCCATCCTACTATGATCAGGCTCACCAAATAACTCGAGTTATTTGGTATAATACATTTTAAATAGTTCCCACGATTTGTTTGTCTGGGTAACTTGTACTAAGTAATTCATTATAACTTAAAATTTTACAATCGGATAAGCCTTATACATAGGCTAAGTACTTTATTTATTGGTTTTTATTGTTATTGCTATATTTTTATTACAATATATATATATATATGAATTAATATCTTTTTTTTTTTTTTTGTAAGCTTCCCGAATGTGATGATTTTGAATGCTATTCGATAGTCATAGACAGAAATTCGTTTGATTGACTGATGCAGATCAATTGCCCGGGTAACTTATTTATACACTTTAAAGTACTTTTTGAGAAATGCAACATTTCACTAACGTGGAAAAAATTTTTTTACATAATTCGCTTCGTTTTAGTGCCAGAAGACTACCTTTAAAAATAATCTTTTATAATATTAAATTTAAGTGGTGTTAGCTTAGTAGCGACTTTTCATAATGGGTAAAGAAAAGAAAGTCATGGGACCCTGCATTATAGAAATTTGCAAGGAAAATCTTCAGCTTGGAAGTCCGTAACCGCTCTGGTTCTTTCTAAAGGAGCAAACAATAGAATGCTTCCTCCTTATGTTAAGGAATCTGACACAATATGCTTAGATTGCTATAATGCAATTGTTACAAACACATCTTCTGAATTTCAACAGCATGTGCTAAATTGGCGTTTGCATGTTGAGCCAGAATCATCTGATCTTAACACTAATACTACTTTATCTTTTTCACAAGCAATAGGAATAATTACGGATATTCTTTATGAGCAAGAGCATAAAGGGCTGTTACCAATTTGGGGTTTTGAAGAACTTTGTACAATTATGCAATCAGAAGATATACAACTAAAGTCTTTCTTTGATGAACTATATTAATCCGGAGTCAAAAAATAATAAAACAATGGAAAAAGTATCAAAACAATTAGTATTTTTATGTATTTTATTTGTGGTATTAGGAATAAATTTGTTAACAATGCAAAAAGAGATTTAGGGATATATTTAGATTCTACTGGAACACCCGATTCAACAATTGACACCTTGGCGACATTAGGCATAACAATGATGTATCGTTCAATTGTCTACCATAAAGATTCTGTATCAAAAAAGCACCCAACAACTGTGGAAAAAAATCTTGAAGATAATTTTAATGGTGCACTACTTTTAAATATCGACGATTATCATAATATCCATACCATTAAAATGCCTATTACAACTAAGACATCTAATCCGTTACATTTCGTTACTATTTTGCTTAATCCAATTAGGACTCAACCAGTGATTCCAAGCCTAGATATTCATAACCACGCATTAGTTGATACTCAACTAATCAAAACTGAAATTGAAAATTAGTTTATGTTAGCATACTTATTTACCTATAATTGGCGCTGGGGATTTTGCTTCGTGGAAGATAAAACAAAACTTGAAAAATTGATGGTCCATAGTTATGACGTTCATTTGAAAGAAAAAAGAAGCTCAAGAGCAATAAAGGATGCTGTGCTTGTAAATCTGTTTGAGAGTGGCCTTCATACAATAGAAGATTATATTAAGGCCATTAATACTGCTATATCTGTTCCAACTATAAACAAATATATTAAAAACGGCAATGTCATTCCAGTCATCACGGATTGGCCTGAACAAATACACCTGAGAACTGCTTTATCACGGTATCTTTTTTATAGTAGCTCTTCAGGAATCACCAATAAAATTTTATCTTTCCTTCTCATGTTAGGCCTTTGCACGTTTCACTGAATAGTTGAGAATTAATACTCCTCCAGTATCATCCATTTTTTTCCAAAATATACAAATATATATTTGGAACAAAGAAAAAGCTTTCACAAAAACCAAAACCATGGTGCATAAACTTGCTTTTGAAACTCTCACGTAGTGTCTGGCAAGAAATCGCGAAAATGGTTAAAATAAAATTCAGAAGCACATGCAAAGGTGCGGAGTACTTGACGCTTAAAGAACTATTGAACAACACAATTCCATTAGTTCTTGATATTTATGCTTTATTCTTTCGAGCCAGCAATCTCAATTCATATATTGAATCTTGTTTTTAGGTTTGGGTTATCTTTTATAAATTTTAGCATAGAAATTATACTAAAGCACCTTTAATGATTCTTTCAGATATTTTTTATTGGCAATCTAATAATCATCCAATTTTAGAGACAATGAGTGCCAAATTACCGAAATTCTCTGATACACCCATGGAAATATTTCATAGTCTCTTATGGCGCTATATGGAAAAACATCTTACGGCACAGCAAAGAATTAAAGAAGCACAATATATTAACTTTTTACGATTTAACGATGATGGCTTTAAAGAAAATTTTGTTCACACTATGTTTTGGGCAGTCTATCAATACTCTTCTTGGAATACTAAAACTTTGACGCAGAAAACTGCTTGCTTTTTTTAGAATGTTTTTCTGAAATTTATACTTGTATTAATCAAGAAAAAGTTCTATTTTTAATTTCATCACAGGTTGCTCCGGTACGTCCATCAAGAAAAAGAAAGAAGAGAGAAAATTCTAATATTGGAACTAGTATGCCCATTCCAGCAATGAAAATGAAGAAAGCTTGGCTTTGTCATCTACTCTTAGAATATAGTTCTTCACATAAGCCAAGTTTATCTAGTTGTAATTCTTCTAATTGTTTTTTTGCTAACACTATCATCACTGAAGAAACAGGTCAAGTATTGCCGTGCGGCCATGCGTATCACAATAATGTTTCAGCCAGGATGGGTCCAAGTATTTGCATTGTTTAAATCATCTTAAAAATGGTGTTGATAAGCATGTGTAATCACTTTTAGAAAGCCTAAGCGAACTTGATTTGAATATTAGCATTGAAAATGAAGACCCTGATTCGATTACTGAAGAAGATGAAGATGACAATAAAGAATCTCCCGATGGTATTTTGGCTCCTTGGGATGATACAATATGGAAATTTCTTCTATTATAGTTTTTAATTTGGTTATTTTAAAGAATTTTATATTCGTATATATTTCAATTTTTTTTAATTTGTACAAAATATTTAAATAAAGATTGGGTTGAAATAATTCGTATTATAAGTAATTTTACATTATATATAGTGATAGGACCTCCTGAATTATTAATAATTAATGATGATTAATTTATTGATCGAATTATTAATAACTAATAACTAATAATATATGGTGCAGCTAATTAGTACAGGATGTATAAAAAACGAAAAGTTGCGTCAAAATTTTCTCAAAAATTGCTAAGATATTGGCAGACTAAACTTTTATTAATTCATCATTTCAATATAAAGACAAAACCATAGGATTCAAAAGAATTCAAAAAATATGTTGTAAAGCAAAGTGAAAGCTTCATATTTATTTAATTATTTTCAATATTCATATAAAAGATAAGTCAAGCAAGTCTTCCAAAAAAGTATTGTAAATTAATATAAAAAAAATTCTATCAATTGTGTAATGATTTTGTATTAGTATATTATTAGCGATGATCGAAATTATTATATTATTAACGCATTAATTTTTTCATTATTAACAACTATAATTATGTATGATATAAAGCACGTGAATATGATCGACCAATCAAATTTTATAAAATCAAAAAATCGATCTATGCTGATCTACAGAAAATTGACCAATCAAACGAATTTCTGTCTATGAATTCAATAGTCCTGAATGTGAGAATGCTTACGATAGAAATTCACCATTAAAGGGTCTTTTAAAGCTGATTGAAATGGTGCGAGGATGAAAGACTTTGATGCTGTTAAAATTGCTGAAAATTATTTTTCAATTATTGCTAACTTACTTATTCTTGAGAATCATCCATTCTTATTCATAATAAATTTAGTTTCATACTGTAGTTATAATAATATTATACAGCCATGCTTCTAAAATCTTAACTATTTTGCTATGGCTTTTCAAGTGTTCACAAGAATACGTTATTAATTAGCTTTGCGATATTTAGGTTTATACGGTTATTTTATTTTATTTTATTTTATTTTTTAATATAATGGGTTCGTTCGTTTTGTGTAAATAAAAAAAAAAAATCAAGAGCGAAAGAGAGAAAAAAAAAGTCCAAGCGAAAAAGAAAGTTAATTGTAAAAAAAATAGTTATATAAAAAATTTCAATTTATTGTTGTTTACGTCATTAATTTAATTTCGTAGCGAATACCCGATCGCCGTTATTGAATGCTCCGCACCAATAACTGACGTATTTTGTGTGGAATTTGACCGGTCGATGTCTGGGCACCTGCGGGGCCCAGCCATAAAATACTTTCCGTTATTTGTCATGTGTAACAATAGAATCATGATCGAACAGATCACGATGCAATTGTTACATCATGCCAAATAACTATACATTATCTTTTTTTTAAAATAATTTTCTCTGCTAAAAATTAAAGTTAACCAATCAGAGGCAATATTTTTAGTTTCGCTAAATTTTAACATCAAACGTCAATGTTTTAATAAAAGGTTAACCCTTTTTTTTTAATGCAAATATTAGGGTGATTCAGAATTAAATTATTTGAAAAATTAGTGGGAGTTTAAAATATCCCATTTCTGTTGTGAAATTCCAAAATCAGAAAACAAGTTAAGTATATTTTTTTGATGATATATTATAATATTAAAAAAAATAGAATTCATAAATCAATTATTTCAAACCAAGTATGTCGCTCGAAATTAGAAGCCTGAACATTAATTCTTAACCACTCGATTACACGAATATGTTATATTTGCCTACTTGTAAAGTATCTTTTTTTAAAAAAAAATTTAAATAGAATGCTACCGTATTTATTCTATAACTAACTAAATCATTAACAAACAAAAAAATCCATAGATCTCCCATAGTTAACCATACTATTTTAACCGTTAGTGAAATGAATGGGTCTCACCTAATCACCTAATTTAATAATTTAATTTAATTCTAAATTTGAAAATTTGCACGAAATCTCTATATCACTCATCGGTTTACTAATATAATTGGAATATTTTTTCGTTTCATATAGCTTACTAGAATATACGTCATGAGAATGTATTTGCTTAATAGGTTCCGGTTTAATCTTATTAGCTTCTAAAAATTGTTTTTTAATTTCATTATCATCTTCCTGATTAATTTCATCTAACCAACGAGTGATAATTTCATTAATTTCCGTTGCAGTAGGTCGCTTATCAAAATCTTTATCCATGCATTTCATAAATAATTTAATATAACAATCAGGTCCTAAACATTTAGGCCTTGATCCGCCGAGAATTTTTGATACAAGATCATCATTAAACGGAATTCCATCAAACGCTCTTTGTCCGGTCGAAATCTCAGTTGCAATAACTCCAAGACTGTAAATATCTGATGCTTGAGTATACAGTTGACCCACTAAAATTTCAGGTGCTATATATGGCAGAATTCCACAGATTTTTCCTTCCGCCACTTTTTTAGAAAGCCCAAGATCAGTGATATATGCGCTGTTCAAATATTCTTGCAAAATGTTTCCACTGTGTAAATCTCTGTGAACGAGTCCCTGTGAATGAATTGACTCGAGATCCACAGCTATACAGTGCAAGATACTCAATTTATCTTTCCACTCCGATTTTGAAACTTGTGTAAGATTTTGTCGTAACGAATTTTCTGGCGCAATCTGCATAACAATAACATAATCACCATGATCGTTTCTTGATACTCCATAACAGCTCAGGAACGAAGGGTTTTCGTAACCAATTTCACAGAAATTTTTCAATTCCTGGATAAATTCTTGCTCATTTTTGTTTGAATCATGAATCACTTTAAGTGCAACATTCCGCCACGTATTATTAATTTTATCGTTCCAACATGTATAATATACAGTTGCAAATCCTCCTTTTCCCAATTCTACGATATTTCTGAACTCATTATAATCAATCCAAGATAATTTAAATCTTTCATCGTCCAATATCCCCTTAAGATCAGGATTGATATGATCTGGTGATTTATTAGTTTTCAAAAGACTTCTATATTTTGTGAACCAATAATTTGCCTTCTGAATATCTCTTTTTGTACCGATACCATTACGATAACATCGAGCGACATTACTCATTGACACTTCTTCACCCATGTTAGCAGCTTTTTCATAATATTCAAATGCTTTATTGTAATCTTTATCAACTCCAAATCCAACTTCATAACAAGCACCAACACCACACGTTGCACGAGCATTATCCAAATCAGCCGATCGCTTATAATATTCAAATGATTTTTGGTAATCTCTTTCTACTCCAACTTCATGCTGATAACACATACCAACAGCATGCATCGCAACCGGATTTCCCAACTCGGCTGCTTTCATATAATATTCAAAAGCCATATTTTCGTCTTTCTTAACACCAATACCACGTTCATAATTGTAACCAACCATATGCATCGCATCCGAATTTCCTAACTCAGCTGCTTTCATATAATATTCAAAAGCCTTCTTTTCGTCTTTTATAACACCAATACCATATTGATATTTGTGCCCAAGTTCAAGAAGTTGTTTAGAATCCATTTTTTTTAAAGAGGAAAAAAAATACACCAAATAAGATACAAACTTAAATTTGTCCGGAGCGTAATGGAGGACATTTAATGTTAATTAAGGTTATACAAAAATTACATCAATAGTTACATTTTTGATTAGCTTATTAGTTAACTTATATTGTCTATCATAAACGTATTTTTTAAAAATTTTATATCTGGCCGCATGCATATTTGTATTTTAGTGTAACAAAACCATTAAGTAAAAATAGAAAGTAATTGCAGGGATGCGCATTTTATTTACTAAACGTCCTAATGTTTTTTTTTTAATTGATACAAGAGAATTTCATCATATCAAACATAGGACTTTTTTTAAACATAATATTCACCTCAAAAACTTCTTTAGTAATCAACTGGTTGAAGTGAAGGAACTTCTAAAGAATAAAATTTCGTTTAAAAAAAATCTTTACGTACTAAATTCTTATTAAATGATTCAGAAAGCCTAATGCTTCTTCCAACTAAAATGCTACGACATGACAAAAGAACTTGAGCGAACTCAAATTTAGGAAATGCTAAATCCTGTAAGTTTATGTAAAAAATAATATCAATTGAATGATAATTATTACGTGAAAAAAATGGTATTTACTCTTTAATTTCTTACCCCTTTATCAGTATCCAACGTTAGGTATTTTAATTTCCTATTGGCTAACATAAATTTATGGATGGTAATTGTAATAATATGTATTATAAATATAGATAAATAACACTGGTATCAGTAATTAAAGTTCGGTCCAGGTATAATTCAACAAGCTTTTCCATATCTATATATATGTAAAATATTATGAAATAAAATAAAGTTACATTCAATAACTCGGAATAATAATTGATGTATAATTGATAAAAATGAATATTCATTACCAGATATAATATAACTCCCGAATTTGATACGTTTATAAATGGTTATTCTATAGAAAACTTATAATAATTTAATAAATTGAAGTTAACATCAAAAAAAAAAAACTACCTAAACATCTAAAAATCACCTTAGAAGTCTTGTAAATTTAATTGTAGAGGAAAATTCAGAGGGAACCTAGTTGTTCAGGTATTGGATGAGGCAATAGCTTTGGTAAATTTAAAGGAGGGCTTTTTTATCCAGTTAGTATATTTAGAACATTTGCCTATGTTACCAAAGTTTGTACGGCAAATAGAAGATACATCTAATTTTCTGTATTTAGTGAGACATTTGGAACTAAGCAACATTGACAGGTGCAAACACATCTAATTGAAGCATAACATTTTTACTAATAACCCAACTGAAGAGGTTAGAGGCAAAAAGATACATATCAGCTGATTTTATTTATAAGATCTTAAAAAAGTTCCTCACTTAAAATTAAACATAATTGACAAATATGATCGACCCAAAGTAATTTTGTAAGTAGTGATCACTTACTTAACATTAAGCAATATCAAAGTTTTATTACATTCATG